ATGCCGAATGTATGTCATCTGATATGTACTGGGTCTGTCTCTTATACACATCTAGATGTGTATAAGAGACAGCACACACACACACACACACACACACACACACACACACACACGAGTTTGCTCACACAGACCACAGACAAAGTGCTCCAGACAGTTGCTCGCTTTTTGTTACTGTTCCATTTCTTCATGCCTTTGTCACAGTCCAAAACTCCTCAGCATGTTTTTGTACCGTTTTTCTGAGTCCTTGAGACTTCTCACCAGTTGTGTGTCTGTTGTCATTTTTTTTGTTGTTCTCTTGCACTTTTTGTCTGTTGCCGTGCATTCCCTTGTTCTCAAGTATGGTTGTTGTGCTGAGTGCTCTGAAATGTGTTGTGATATTTTCAGGACCCTGTGCCTGACCCGAAGGCCTACTATCCCCCTGAGCCATCGGCGGCAGACAAAGACCCATTTCTGACACAATGCCCAACTCAAGCTGCCAGGTTGGCAGCAGGGATTGAGATGCCTTCACAGTTGGAGAATCCGACTCAATCAAGACAGTTCTCTAAGTCTGACATTTCACTGCCGGAGGAAATTAATCAAGGTATGTTTTTCTCTCTCTTTGAGTCTTCTCAGATTCCTATGCATCAGCACTGCCGACCATCCAAATGCCTTCCATCTTCCCCTACGTTATGGCCTGGGGAACCCTGACACATTGATTTCTTCCACGATGAAGGATTAACTGTCACACACCCACTCCGTGTGCAAGCCTTCTGAAAAAACAAGCTCGAATTAAACCGCCAGTACAGAGCCCCAGCCTTGCTGAAAAAAAAAAGAAACTCCTCACCTACAAAAATTTCTGAGGCTCGGCCAACCGGGCCACGATGGCTGGCGGCGCCAGGCGAAAAAGAAAAAAGTGTGCCGCTGGCAGTTCGGAAACGCTTGGCGCGCAGTAAGGCACCTGCAGGCCCGGGTGTACTGATGGTTTAAAGAAACACACCCAGAATCAACCAAGAGGTTCAACGCTGACCATCTACTCCTCTGTCTAGCAGAGGCTCTCCTTTGTTCTATGTACGTGGTCTACGCCTGTTGTCACGCTTTCTCAAATCTCAGCCTTTCTGAAATTGCGACCGTTCATCATGAGCCTACATATCTCTACTTCTGTCAGCCTTCCTCCTTGGCACAGCAGGCTTCGGATTCTCATCTCCGATGTCTGATTTCTTTTTGTATTATGCTTATCGAGAATGTTGCTGTCTTATCGAGAATGTTCTTATGAGATCATAGTGCTGCTGACTTCCTGGTTCTCTGTAATTCGGCCACTTTGTCGTCTCCTTATGCCAATTTTTCCATCGTAGGTGCAAATAAAAGGGCCTTTACGAATTAGACCCCAGATGAGTACCCCAACAGTGAGGGGCCCTGTCGGCCAGAACTTAAATTCACGAGCAGCAACCCAAAAGACAAAGTTCCTGAGGCAAATGTCACATCCATAATGAAATGAAGGGTCATTTTGAACAGTCACAAACAGGTCATGAACGAACAGGTATTAGACACAGTTTTTAAGACTGAGAAAGGGTCATGTCTCCTCGATGAAAAGTCATGTCTGTTCGTCAATGAGTCAAAGGCCACAGTCCCAGTCCAGTCATAATCCCACGAGTCAGTCCTGATTCAGACCAGGAGTCCAAAAGACAGGCCCGATGGCCCAAGCAGCAGCAGACCATGGGAAAAGATACTAGGACACACACTTTGCAACAATCGGTACTGGGCAGGAGTCCCAGGCACACTTGAGGCTGAACGCAGGGCACACCAGACCAGTCCAGCACTATAAAGGACTGGCCAGCCTCCCATTTGGCAGATGCTCACTTCGCATGAGAGTGTGGAAGTGCCATGGTACTTGTGCACTAGATGTGTGTGAGCTGCGCTAGGCTGAAGAGCAGCGCTATGTGGGAAGGAAGAGAGTGCTGGCGAGAGGGAAGGCAGCCATAGCTACGCCAGCGCTAGTTAGTATGTTAGTAGGGATAGTCAGTAGGAGATACCCGTGAGTAGTATTCAGAGTAGATCCTCGTGTGATAGGGAGTGTGCATGCATGATGAGTGCGGGTAGATCGGGACTATAGACATAGAGGGAGAGAGAGAAGAAGGCAGACGAGAGAGGGGGGAGTGTGAGCTATGGTGACACTTAAGTGTTGAGCGCTGTTGTTGACGTTTGGCAGCTGGCTCTGATGAGCACCAGACTTGGAACTCGTGTTGATCGAAGAAGACATATAACTCTGTTTGGCGCTGTACACTTTGAACTCAGGATGTTCTCTCTCTAACTCTGGGTTTGATAATTGAGTTGAGCTTCCTGGTTCTCATTCATCTTCTATTGGGCTTTGTGTGAGATATCACAATTTGTGAAATCTGTGAATATGCATGTGATCTGAGATCGTGGCTACCTTACCTCTGGCCAGCCCATTGTGGGAGAATTCACTTAATGGTTACTGTTCCCTCTCAGACTGTTGTTGTACCACAGGCATTGTGCCCCTCCATTTGCATTTCACCTCTGCTTCTATCAGGTCTTTGGTGAGAGCCCAGACCTTTTCTCTTCCGTTCCTCGTGTTGTCCAGTTTGATGATGCATCTCTCTTTCCAGATCACCCACAAGGCCACTTTTCCGATTAAGTAGAGGCGCTCGCAAGAACGTACGAGCTTGAGGAGTACCAGTCTTTGGGTGATGGCAGATGCACGACAGTCTTTCGGGCGTATGCAGAAGAAGGGAAGGGGATGTATCAGTCGAAGAAAGGTTGGATTGGTTGTTCAGGAAAAGGGGTTTTGAATAGTCGCGACCATCGCTTGCCTGTCCCTAGTACTCACTGACAGTAGCTCCTGTGCACCCGATGAGGTAAGAGTTTTTCCAGACGGATGCCGTTTGCTTTTTTTTTTTTTTTTTTTTTCCCCGAGAAACTTGGCCTCTTGTGTGTAGTCTACGGTGTGGGAACTCCTTTGGCTTTTTCTTTCCTTTTTTCCTCTTTCGAAAAAACATCGCCTCTTGTGTATTGTCTATGACTCTAGAGTGTGGGCCTGTTCTGGCTATGTGGCCAGGTTACCCTGCAACCGGCACGGACTGGCTCTGCCTACATGCAATGCATGTGTGGTCTAGCCATTTCTATACATGGTTCTGAGATGCTGGAGCACGAACGTTTGAAAATTTGAAAAATTTAGAAACATCTCGAGGACAGATATGTTGCGTAAACTTGTGTTACAACCAACTTCTCGGCAACCGTCAAGTTGACATTTCTGATTGAGAACTTGGATTTGAAAATACAGTAACAATAGAAAAATCAAAATGCTGCACACCTCAAAGTTTAACGTTTAAACCCCTCCGAAAGCACTTTAGAAGTTTAGAACCTTCTTTGTCCCCCACACAAACGTCTCCAAGTTGAACCATAACCAAATTCGAAGGTAAGCCCGGATTCTGGCTGCTGAGGCCACATGCAGATCTGGGCTGGGGTCACACTTTTTCTCTTTGGTTTCTTCTTGCCTTTTCTTACCTTGCTGGTTTACCTGCCGTCTTCACCTGAACACGCCGGCCCCCCTCTTCATGACTGTATTGCACTGGAAAGACAGCTTGCATACATTCAAGATCAGGGTGTCTTGTGTTTTCGGAGGAAGGCAGCGGCCAGATGGGGTCGCAACAGCGCACGTCCTTTGTTCATGTGTATGTATGTTAGCGTGCACAGGCGTGGATGCCGAGCATGACGACCCTGGTAACGTATCTACATAGGTTGATGATGTTCGGTTGGCAAGCGCCACGATGATTCCTGAAGAGTTTTTGAAGCCTGCTTTGCAATGATTCATGGGGCAATTCAGAGTTTGTGAAACTTGCTGTGATGTCATGACTGTTTTGTTTTGTGTGTTTTGCAAGTGGCACAGCTGTAGACCTACTGAAATGACATGTCAGTGGTGGTTGTGTTACAGAGAGAGCAGTGTCGTCAGCTTGCAGAACGTCAGCAGCCTCTGCCTTGCAGCCTGACATCAAGGCAAACCATCCTAGTGGAGAGTCAGGGGGTGTTCAAGGAGAGGAAGGAGCTGCAGTGGGAAGATCTGTGCCTGATCTTGCCAAAGACGTGCAGGCAGAGCACCGTACGGCGACAGCGCCCCCAAGTGCCGGAGATGATGGCCCCGCCAGAGGCACCAGAGGAGGAAGAGGAGGGGGGAAAGGTTCCCTATCCCACTTAACGACCCATCGAAAGCCCCCGGCTTCAGTCTCACCAGGAAAGAGGGCTAGGAAGTCGCCATCGACAAGTAAAGGGGCAGAGCAACAAAGTGCAGCAGCTCATTTGACTGGAGCACAACCCAGCCACACCAGGGGAAAGAAGCGAACTGCTCAGGAGGAGGAGGAGGCTCAGCGTCCTGCCACATCCTCTGCCAGGAAACAAGCAAAAACGGGAAACGAGGAGATAAATGATCATGCACGAGGAGGTGGTGTGGGAGACGAGGACATGGGAGCACAGTATCCAGGTGGATGTGACATTGCTGACGACAGTGAGTCTCCGTCAGATGTTGCTGCTGCAATTGAAGGGCTGCTTGCCCAAACCGCCAAGGTATTTTACCGTTTTACCATAGCTTAGAGATAGTGACTGGTACCGACGGGCCTAGCTCAGTTTTTACACCCCCTGAACTGTTTAAATTACAGACCCGAGTTCGAATCCAGATACTATCAGAAGAAAATAATAAAATCTTTCTGAATTGCCTGGGGTCTGGTCAGTTCAATGATGATATCCAAAGGCCGTCCCCCTTACAAACTGTCCGCAATCTCTTTTATGTTGAAGATCATTCCTCTGGCCCCGTGCTGCAGCAAGACAATGTACCAACACTCTGCAACCTTCTCCTTTGCACAGCCACAACACTGTTACACTCGGCTGTAGCCGCCGTCGTCTCTGTCTGCATCCACGTGTGCAGAGGACTGTCCCTCTGTTCCTCACTGCAGGCACCCTCCGCATCCAGACGCTATATGTCCATTTTGCGGCCATGGGCGCGATACTGAATTCATGATCTTTTGTGGTGACCGTTCTTCCTTCATTTTGGCCTGCAATCGACATGCCATTTGTCGGCGGTGTATGGTGGGCATGCTCAACGCCAGCCATCGTGGCAATTGTTGCACTGAGAATGCTCAGCTAGGTCTTCCATGTGTTCATCCACCTCATCCTTACAATGTATGTTCTCTCTGTCGTCGAGGACAGACTCATTCGTGAGCCTTTTCTTATCCTCTTTGGCCTTCATCTTCACTCCACACTCCGTACTTTCCCTTACTTTCCCTTCATTGTTCTTTGTTTGTCTGCTCTCCAACTCTCCTCCCTGTGTTTAACCCCTCCCCCTTCACTCTGCCTCTTTCTCACAGCGTACAAGGGGGCCGTTATGGTACACGGGGATGGGGCCAGCTCGCGCTCAACTTCATCAACTTGGCGAGCCTTGTATGTGAGAGGCACGGTGAAGGGGGAGTTAAAAGAAGAATGAGAAAAATGAATGGTTTCAGTGTGCCGTTCATGTTTGTCTTGTTTTTTAATTTTTTATATTTTTGCCGTTTGTTTCGCAAAGTGCGCTCTTTTAGTTCATAGTTATGTGACTCTCTATATATATATCGTCAAAAGAGAGAGTTGCTGGTTCTCAAGAGGCAGTGCCAATCCAAAAGCTCATTCTATACCATAATCTCGTTGAACCATACCACACTATGTATCTGCGGGAAAAAGCATTCACCCTGGTCCAAAAGAACCATGCTTACCACACTGCTTTCTCATTCATTGACTACTTCTTGCTATCGGAACCTCTGATTGGCATATGGTTGAAAGTGCCGAAATTTTGCCCCTTGCTCCCCCCTACCCGGGCTTGGATCACAAACCCATAGAGTTTTGGGATGAATTTTTGGCCGCTGTTGGGGGGCGATTTTCTGAACCTGTACAACGACAGCTGGCTGAAAGGGGGCTTGGGAAAGCTCTTGAGTAGTAGTGTGGTTACGCTACTGTGCAAAAAAGGGTGACAAGGAAGATATCAGGAATTACAGGGCCATTTGATTACTCACACCCTCCCTTGTAAGATAGTTGTGCAGACACTATAGCATTCCGACTCCTTTTCTCGATTTATGCATGTCGTCCTCATGCAGAGCTGGGGCCATGCAAATCTTCCCTCTCTTTATCGTTCCGATTTAAACGGATGTCGCGGAGGACAAAGCTAGCTTTCGGAATCCTAGACTTGACTGATAAAAGTTTTCACATACACCAAACGGGGGGTTTGTTCCAGGCCGATATGTCTTTGACAAATTGACAATGTATCGAGTTACTATTAACCCTCAATGAGGCGGCCAAGAAAGTCAGAGAAAAGAGGATCGGCACAGCCATCCTTTTCTTAGACTTCGAGAATGCGTATGACCAAGTCAACTGGGCCTTCCTCAATGCGAGCATGGAAAAAATGGGGGTAGGTCCTAACTTCAGGAAATGGGTACGAATCTAGCTTTCCCGGGGCGCCCTGGGCGCCTTGCCCAGGGGGGGACCACACCCGGGGTACCCCGGGCGTGCAAAAAATGCACTGATTTTTAATAAAAAAAATTTGGGACTTCGGTGCCTGTCTGCGCTTTCCGCGTACTGCCGATATCCGGCCTTCTTCTAATTTCTATGCATATGTGTTTATGTGTGTTTTGGGGGCAGGGGCGGGGAGAGGAGGGTGAGGGG